TACTCGATTAATCGTAAGAATAATCGATAGATTACTCGATTACTAAAATATTCGTTTACAACAGCCCTAATTTACTTGTTGCAAAATATTGTTTTTGCATTGTTTCAAAATGAGCTTCATGTAGCACTGAGGATTAAATATAATTTCTTAATGTAGTATAGTTAATTATTTTTACGTCTTTCATGCTGCTGCTCATTGATATGTATTACTGGACTGGACACAGCCTATTAGTCACTATGTGATGCATCGAGCCCAGAAAACTATTCAGTTCCAATGCAGGACGAGCAGAAATCTGTCACAACAATATTAGTAGCGCCACCGTTTGTTATCAGATATACTATTAAATACACTTAAAATAAAGATGATAAAACTGATGTTTGATACATAAATTCTCCGGATACAAATCTATAAACAGTTTGGTTTCTGTTAATTATGTCAAGATGCAAGAAAAGGCCAATTTCTCTTATATTGGTCAGTCGTTTTATTTTAAATATGCTGTAAATATGCTGTTGATTGTTATAAATATCTCCACGTTTTACGAACAGAGCGGATTAGTTCAGTTTTTGTCGCTTGTTTAACTTTCATGAACTGCAGCGGCTGCAGTGAGCCGCAATAAAGGTGCAGTAAAGCTGATAAACAGGTGAAGAACCAAACTAGATAAAACCACTTCTGTTCTGCTTCTTCTGCTCCGTGTCGGCATCACCAAACACGTTGCCATGGTAACCGACAGACAACAGCTCAACGAGCAGATAAAGCAGAGATGCGTTCAATCCGATCAGGGGAATCGACACCAAACTAACATTTCCCACACAAAAAGTAGCAAAAACACCAAAACTGAACATCCAGTCTGTTACATTATGCTGTCAGGCTTAATGTCTATATTATCATTATTAATAAGTTTTCGCCTGAACACAGCGGGGGTTGATTAGCTGATTTAAACAGCTGCTCTACTGATGACGTGGTGGGCGGGTTGACCTGTTTAATGCTAACGGAACCAAAACACACCGAACTGCGCAGCACATGCTAAGGCTATCAAAGTCAATAGCGGGCTAACAACAGTTAGGCTAGCATAACTGACCCACTGCTCACTTGTTCAGTGTTTTCTTTAAATTAAAACTTTTTCCTCACCTGTGAAATCTGAAGCCCTTATTACCATTATCTATGTTTGAATTAACTGCTAAACATTGCGTCCGTTGTTCTGATTCTTTGCGTGATTGTAGTAGTTTCCTGACCACCGATATTCCTGACTCAATGGACAGCAATGGCGCATGTGTGACTTACGATAAATCACGTAATGTCCAGTCCAGTAATATTTATCCATCAATGCTGCTGCCTCGCGCTCTGTCCTGTTCTCTCACTTCCCGCAGTGGGTGTCAGGTTACATTGTGTTGCATTCAATGTTGTCGAAAAAAAGAGTGAGTTTCATGCGCTTATGTCCGATTTGCCATAACTATTTATTGAATTCGTAGTCGCTAGCTGGGGTGGCAACAGGGGTGGCAAGGCTCTCACAGTAGATCCGCCCCTGTACTCAGGCATGCTGTGCCTGAGTATGTAACCATGTGAGCCGTGTACACTGTCCACCGATGGTTGAGATTTCATGGTTGAGAGTACCGAAATTTCTGTATTTTCCACAATTCAAGTGGATACTAACAAGTTTGATGAGCTAGTTTTGCTGCTAGCCCTCCGTCTTCTCCACCAAGACAGTCACTACACCTGTAAGTGCGGTCACTGTAGTGGCAGTCCAGCTAAGGAGTGTCCTGCGACCGTTTGCGCTGAGTGTTAACCTTATCAGTTTGCTGTCACACACAAAAAGAGTTAGATGTGAACACTGTTTCACGCCGAGCAGTTTACTCTGCGACACAGTACGCAGATGTGTCCGGCAGACGTCCGCATTGAGCAGGCGTGGACCTCCACGGAGTGAAGTACCTGGAAGAAAGTCATGGTTGCTATGGAGGAATGGAGTAGTTGAGTGTTTCACAGATCCCTGGCTTACTCTCTGGTATAATTTGACTTAATCTGATATTTGACATTCTGGATGTCTTGGTTGTGTCTCAGCAGAAGCAAAGCACCTACGTCTACCTGGTCAACCTGCTTGTGGCCGACATCCTGCTGCTCTTTGCCCTCCCATTTAAGATCCTGAAGGACCTCGGGGCAGCATCATGGAAGCTCATGGTCTTCCACTGCCAGGCCAGCGGCGTCATCATGTACATCAGCCTTTACGCATCCATTGCCTTCCTTGCCTTCATCATTGTAGACCGCTACTTGAAGGTAGAGCAGGACATTCAGTGAGGACCATCTGTGTCTGTGACTGTGGTATCATGCCTCTGTTCTGTTGCAGGACCGCCACACGGCGCGCTCTCTGCGGCTGCAGGAGTCCAGCTTCGCCTGGCTGTTGTCGGTGGTGGTCTGGGCCTTGCTGCTGCTCATCATGGTGCCCAACATGGCGCTTCCCACAAAGGAGGATAAGGTACCACAACTTTTACCGAAATCAGTGGGATGATATAAATGAGGTCTATCTTCTCCAGAGAAGTCTGTTTTAAGTTTAAATCGTTTGGAACCCCATCGCCTGCAACACTAGCAAAGTTTTCTGAGTTTGACTTCAGTCTTATAACAACAGACCAGACAAATTTCCACCATGACCATGGGAGAAGTGAAACACCAGGTGTTTTCAATGGGAGAGGAACTCCAGCTCAGTAAAACGTGACATTAAAAAAGGCTTTGGCTGAGGAAGTTGTAGTTATGCTTTAGCAATGCAGTGGACAGTCTGGGTGGATGAAGATCTAACCAGGTAGTGAAATGAGACTGATTAGGTCAGGGAGAACCTTCTCATCACTGCTGCTGAACGCCAGCTCCTCAGCTGCAGACCTCCAGGGGTAGAACAGGTTCATTACAAGTTCCTCAATGCTACAGATGTTTTCTGTACAGATGTTGAGCGCAAGAAGAGACTAAAACACCTAAATTAGTTCCCTAACCATTTCCATTCTCAAGTGATATTCTAGTGCTGGTCAGTAAAAACTGGACTGACTCTCAATACTTGGAAGGTATTTGTGGGTCACCAGCCTGCAGGTATGAGTTTAAGTGACTGGAAGGTAAAGATTATGACTGTTTTCTTCATTAGGGAAGTTGGAGGTAGCACTATGGTAATATATGGGTTATAAGCTTGAGGGCTGTGTGGTTGCTGTTAAACAGAGGGTTGATGGTTTGAGGTTCCATCGCAATGTCTTGTGGATAATCTGGTTCCTAATAGAGGTGAGATCTCCAGCTGAGTGTGAGGTAAATGATGAAGACAAGTTCAAGTCTGAGCTTTGAAACGATCTTTCCCTGCAGACAGCTGAGGTGTTTGGGTATTTGATAAGGGAGTCTTTTGTTTTATGTCATTTACACTAAGTGGTGTTTAACTCAGTCCGGTTTGGTACACTATTTTATGGACCAGCATATTCAGAAGAGCATCTCCACCACCAGCTGGACTCTCACTTGGCAGGCGGGGCTAAACCCAAATGCCTAGCCCTCCAGGTATGGAGGGCTCTGGACCAGTCTAGGGCTATTTTTCCTGGTCTTCTTTGCCTTGGAGGGTTGATCTCAGTCTTAGCCTCAAAAGAACCAAAGTTCACTTCAACTGACCCAAGATCTAAGCTTGTACATGGACCAGAATTTGCTTTTTTGATTCACATTGGAGTCCAAGTGTGCATTCACACCTTTCAAAAAGAACCAGACTTGCTAGGCAAGTGAACCAAAGTTCAATTAAGGCAGACTAAACAGGGTGATGTGAATGGATCCAAAGACCCTTTAGCTTTCCATGGCCTCTAACTGAAAGTGTTGCTGCTTTCTCCGTTCAGGTGACAAAGTACCTCAGCTGTTCATCTTTGAAGGAGAAAATCAGCCTCCACTGGCACACTCTGACCGTGTTTCTCAACACGGCCCTCTTCCTCAACGCCTCTGCAGCCGTGCTCATCTCCAGCGCCCTGGCCCTCAAAAGACTCCTGCACAGTCACAGTGACCCCAAACTATGGCTGGATGCCAGGAGGGTGGTGCTGAGTGTGACGGCCATGGCGCTGGCCTACACCCTCAGCTTCGTTCCCTACCATGTGGTGCGGACGCCGTACACTCTGGCCCAGGCTGAGGTCATCAAGAACTGCCAGACCAAGAGGCAGCTGTTTCTGGGGAAAGAGTCCACGCTGTTCCTGAGCCTGGTCCACGTCTGCCTCGACCCGCTTCTCTTCTTCAACCTGGACGCTGCGTTCAGAGAAACAGTCAGGAGGCTCCTTTGCCGCAGCAGAAACCAGGCCGTTGATGCAGAGGAGCAGGTTGTGCAGGAAGTGATGCTGCCAAAAGTTCATGCAGATGAGGATACTGCGGTCTAGTCACAGCTCTACAAAGACAATGAACAACATTGCAGATGCTGCAGCAGATGTTCCAGAAACTGGATGTTTATGGGAATTCAAGAACAAAGACCGACATGTGGGGCATTGTGTCGCGCAGTGGTTAGAGCTGCAGTTCATATTCAGACACTTCGGACCTCAACATAGCCGTCTTGAGTTTGAGTCCTTACTTCATTTGCCGCAAGTCTATCTGCCATTTGCTGTCAGATTACTGTTGGATGAATACCAGTAGTGCCAAAACTTATTAAAACAAAACAAACAAACAAAAATACTTATCAACAGGTTTAAGATGGCTGAACTGGAATACTACCAGGACTTAACTGGTAATAAAGATGATGTGATTTTATCTCAAGGCAGGAGTCACTTTAACCAAAGAATCTGAAGGCCGTTTGTCATTTTGACAGATTACAATCCACACTCCTGACCGGTTGCTGCACACCAGAAGACATTTTCAACTTTACGCACAGAGTACCTCCCACTGGTCACTAAATCTATAAGAAAAATCCAATCTCAGCATCATCTATGTTATGTTTATATTGTATTTATATTGTTTTTCTTGCACTGTCTGCACTGCCTTTGGAGCTGGCTCTTTATGACTTTAATCTCACTGTCCTACAGTGAGATTAAATTTGGAGGAATGTTAAGTGATGCTTCCAGTCCACAGCATGGCAGCAGAGGATGGATTCACCCTCCAGATCAACATCAAAACCTTGAGACGTGATTACACACAAGCTGGTGAACAATTCAGGAGATTATGAGACTGTTCAGTGAATCGTTCATGGTGCAATAATTTAATTTCATTGTTTTTATGGAGTTCCTGGAGCTGCAGTCACCGGTTTCTGTCACTGTGAAGAAACAGTGACATGCATTCATCTGCTTGATGTGTGATGGCTTGTTGCATATTAAACTAAATTAAATGCAAGTGAATGTCATAATTATTATTTTAATAACTGATGATTGGTTTGAACAAAATGGTGGACAACAAAATCTCGTCTGATTTTAGGCGTTAAAAGGGAAATTTGAGACGGGCAGCACTGGGCAGCAGAGGGCAGCAGGGGGCAGTGTTGTTCAGGTCCTTTCTTCCTTCAAAGTCTCTGTTTGACACATTAATGTAAAGAAATTGATCCAGAAGATTACAGGGAAGAGGAGAGTTCCTGACATCTGGATGGATCTCCCTTGTCCTTTTAGTGCTTTATCGAGGTGAAACTAGAATGTCCTGATTAGTATACTTAACATCCATTCTTTACTACCACTGTTAATCACAGCTTAATGAAGACAAGGCAGAAGTTGATTATTTTAGTGGTGGAAGTATCATGCTGGGGGACAGAGAAGGTAAGGTAAGGTAATTTTATATAACACATTTTCAGCAACAAGGCAATTCAAAGTGCTTTACATGAATTAAAAGGAAATACAAACAAAAATAACAAACCAAAGGAAAAAGAGGACAGGACACATTAGGGCAGATGGCAACATTCAGACAAAACAAAGGGCAAAACAAAGACACGAGTGAAGGTGGTGACATCTCGGGGCCATGAAACCACGTTGCTCAGCCTCCCGGCAGAAGTCCGATAGAGGTGTTGTTTATCGAGGAATGTCCTTGGGAGCGTTCAGCTTCGCAGCTCCATGGAAACAGGAGGGGGTGAGGAAGGAAGAGCGCTGTGTTTACATATCTTCAAGGAGATTGGAAATATGCAGCCCTTCCAAGGCCACACAGGAAAAGCCAATTCAGAAACAGAACGTCTTAGGTCGGGAAGATTATAAATTTCAATCTTCTCTAAAGTCTCTCCGATACATCTCAGTTCCCAATCATCCAAATTCCACTGAACCGAAACCAGCAACTTCTCCAAGATCGATTCCAACTCGTTAGTGAGTTTTAGAGTCCTCAGCTGGGCTGCGAGTCTCAGCAAGACTCACATCCAACTCGTCTCTGTCCACACCAACAGCCTGAGTGTTCGCTAGTTCGACCAAATCTGTCACAAAATTGTTCATAATCCAGGAATCCACAAGCTCCAAACAGCAGAAATCCTGTTATCATGAATAAATCCAGGGTGAATCCCACCGGGTGTGTCTCCGCAGGACAAGAAGGCTCTCCTGTGCCCAGACTTCTTGAGAAAATTTTTATCAGCTGCATTGAGAGATCGGGTGACCAGATCCATAATTTGTAGATTCGGAGCATGTGCAAAGAAAGGCTCCAAAAATATAGAAAAAGAGAAAAACAGAGCAAGCAGGGCAGGCATGGGCAGGGAGGGAGCAGAGGAAAAAATGTCCGCCTTCATCAAGAGCAAGAGAGAAACAGGTCAGAAAAATCCTAGATGAAGAGCTGAGACTGGTTCACCGTCCCCAGCAGGACAATAACCCTAAACATATTATGGGATGGCCTAGTCAAAGTCCTGACCTAAATCTGACTGAGAATCTGCGGAAGACTGATGTTCACAGATGTTCTCTATCCAACCTGAATGAACGGAGGATGTTTCAGTCTGTGGATGTTCAGAGCAGGAGGAGACGAACCCCAGAAGATTTCTCAGACATTTCATGTAAAAATATTCATAACCATGGACTTCTGTCCTTTCACTTCTTCATTATCTAAACATAAATAAAATCAGGATAAAATCATAGTTTGTGGTTGAAAATATGTCAAAATGTTCAAATTCCAGGTCATCTTCACGGCTAATCGGTTCTCCAGCCTGGAAATGACGCTGCAGAAATCCAAACTGAGCTTTTATCTGCAAGAAGAACCTCATCTGAGCTGAAATACACTCCAAACAAGATAATCTGATTAAACTGGTCAATTAGATTACAGTGGAAAACCCAGAAAGCTCTGTGGAACCACAGCAGAAACATGGAGACAACCAGAGCAAAGGTCAAACTGCTGATAATGTTGCTTTAAATCCACAGAAATGATATCAACTGGTTGATGGCAGCTGTAGCTCAGACGGTCACTGAGAAAGATCTGGAGAAGATCCTCTGAGAACCTCGTTAATCTGTGCAACTCTAGAAAAGATTAAAACTCAGTCTGGGCCGATTTCAGAAGGAAGCTGTCCTTTAGTCTGAGTTTGACTTTATTTATTCTATTGGAGCTTTAGATGGAAACCAGAACAACAAGAACGTTGGTTCATTCAGGTTGCAGAAAAATCCAAACAAGATTAGCATAAAGAGGTTATGTAGAATAAACTGGAAGATTATCTGGAGATGTCCTTAAGGTCCAGAGCCCGTTTCCTCAAAGGTTCCCAGAGTTCTTCTGTCCTGACTGCGTTTAATGAGACAGCTGCCGTGAAGCTGGCCGTGTTTCCACAGGTTAACTGGAGAAAAGTTCAATCAACATCCAACATCTCATCTAAAGTTCCATGTTTAGATTAGACTGACTCCCAACCTCTCCGGAATTTCCGACACATTTTGGTTCTGGACCGGTCCAGCAGCTCGTTAACACAACACCAGCGGTCAGAGTCTCTGACGGACAGCATTAAGCTGACCTATGATACTTCATCTGTTCGGTTAACAACTGAACCGAGTGCTGTGTTACTCCAGCACTCGGTTCATCAGAGGCGGGTGGCTGTTAGCTGGAAGCTAAGGGTCAAAGTACAGGTGCTAGCTGACAGCTAGCTGACAGCTGTGGCTCTGCAGCACAAACAGAAAAACAATCCAGTAGGTAAAAGATATGTAAAGCTTTTATTTCCTTTCACTGCTCAACAGGAAGAAACACATTAACAGCAGAAATCAGACTGTAGTTTGTCATTTCATCACTTTGGCTGAATCATGATAAACTGCCTCAAAACTAGCAAAACTGGCTGCATTGCGTTGATAGACCTAAGCTTGTTTGTCGAACGTAGCAAATATCTCAATCATATTTACCTCTAACTCTTACGTTAATGAGAAGAATTTGAAACAGGAGGGAGGGGCTGAGCGCTGCGAGTGGCTGACAGCTCAGTGTGTGGGAGCCGAGAGCAGAGAGAAAAAAAAAAGTACGTTTTTATTTCTTACCATCCTCAATGTAAAGCCTTTAAAATCACAAAATAAAATCTGAATATTTTTCTATAAAAACCCTGGCACTTTGAGCGCTTGGTTAAAGTTATGATGCTTCTTAGACATTAATTATTTCTGCCTGTTGAAGGATCCAGGACACGGAAAAACCAGAAAACGTTTTAAAATAAAACTTAAGTTATAATTTACATAATGCATACATTGTATTGAGAGTCTCTACAATAAATGAATAATCATGACGAATTTTATTAAGTGAAATTATTTATTAAAGCTTGTTTTTATTTAGAGTCTTAAATGTAAAGAGCAGAGATTAGATCAGTGCCTCTGAACCAAACAGATATCTGAACATTTAAATTTTACTTTTACTCCTCCGGGTCTCAACTGTTTATTGAGGAAAACACGTTTGATAGCATTACTTCTTACTAGTCATTACTGGTCCTGAAGATTGAACACATTAAAACTTTTTAAGCCACATTTTACGTTACATTTCATTGTAACTTTGCCCCCCAAAGAAATCTCCTGTTTGTTAAATGAAAAGTGATTTCCTCCTAAAGGCTTGTCTCCATGCCAAACATTTTTTTTACATAAGCTCCATCCATCCATCCATCCATCCATCCATCCATCCATCCATCCATCCATCCATCCATCCATCCATCCATCCATCCATCCGTTGATCCATTTCAAGCTCAGCTTTCTGATCTCTGGTTAACAGATGAATCAGAGTAAAGAACTGTCTGTTCCTCCAGGTTTTGGTCCAATGGCTGCTGGACGTCTTCATGCAGCTGCAGGTGAACCCATGCAGCCATGATGCTGCCTCTTCCTTGAAGTTGTCGCTTGTTTGGTCCGACTCCCTGCTGCAGAATGCGAAGCGCTCTGCGGGGTCGGACTAGAGGGTAACAGCTGTGTGAGGCGCGGCGGTATGCGAGGATGCAGACGGATATATCCTGACAGCCGGCGGCGCGGTCCGAGTCGCCGCTCCGGGTCGGAAAGCAGCTCTGGGCTCAACATTCAAAGTAAAGCTCCTCAGGTTTTCTGTGTTTTGTTCCTGAGATCAATAAATCAGAACCAAGGCCTCGTTTTCTCCTTCTGATCATCTCTGGATCTGACCAATCACATGAGGCACTGATGAGGAGCTGAAGGTCAAAGGTTAAACAGCTGCTGTTTCTCTGTAGATCCTGTCAGAATAAAACCAACAGGTCTGATTTTTAACGTGTTTTCAGGAGATTTAAACCTGCAGGAATAAGAAAAAAATCTCATTTAATTTGAATGTTAGGATGAATTCTGTTATTGTAAAATGTCTTAAAATGAAATAAATCATTTAAATCAGTGATGACAGACCAGTTGGTGTTCTGCAACATCCGTCGATTTAAAGCAACCGGATCGAACCTCCAGATGAAGATCATATTTAATTTGATTGAAGATGTTCAGGATTAATTAGAGATATTGAAACCAGGTCCATGACTCACTGGGGCTT